CGGGCGCCATGGCGCCCGCGGGCACAGTGTTGGGGACCACGGACATAGAGGATACATTGGCACGCATATGATGGAATAAAAAAAAAGTCATCCTATATAGACAATAGAAGCTTATTCCACTGAAAATACATAGCAGAATTTTTGATCCTTTGTAGACACACAGACAACTTTCCAAGATCCAAGGCTGAGCCTAGTTATTTCGGGCGCCATGGCGCCCGCGGGCACAGTGTTGGGGACCACGGACATAGAGGATACATTGGCACGCATATGATGGAATAAAAAAAAAGTCATCCTATATAGACAATAGAAGCTTATTCCACTGAAAATACATAGCAGAATTTTTGATCCTTTGTAGACACACAGACAACTTTCCAAGATCCAAGGCTGAGCCTAGTTATTTATTATAGCACCATAGATGTCCATGGTGCCTCTTCAGACAAAAATGTGACCAGTCATTGAGCTAAACAGATTACCATCCAAATTAGATACTGAACAGGGAGACATGACTTCAAACAAGGAGGAGGAAAATATGATAAGGAAGGGAATGTTTACATGCTATAAAGTTACAAGGCTGCTGGTATAATACACATTGTGTTAATTCCTTATCATTAACTTGGCACAGGAAGGGGAGGAGTCAGCACTGAACAGTAGTTTACATATCCAGTTGGATTTCTTCAGCCTCCACTGCTGTACATATGTAAAACTGCATGCACACAATTTTGCTCCTATTTCTATACCATGCAAGACACCTACAGGTATATAGGTGTCTATACCTGCAAAGAGCAAAGTAGAGATCCAGGTGGAAATTTCCCTCAAGAGTTTTAATTATGATTTTAAAAATCAAAAGGAAGTGCACAGAGTCAGAATATCTCCTGTTACTTGTACCTTCATTGAAAAATAAAGAGCTGTTTGTTATTAGTTTTCACCTGGAAGAAAACAATGCTGTTGATCAACAGCACTGTTTCAGCTAGCTAATATAGAATCATAGAACCATAGAGCTGGAAGAGACCTTAGGAGGCCATCAAGTCCAGCCCCCTGCCCAAGGCAGGACCAGCCCCAACAAAACCCAACCCAGCCAGGTCTTTGTCAAGCCGAGACTTAAACACCTCTAGGGATGGAGACTCCACTACTTCCCTAGGAAACCCATTCAAGTGCTTTACCACCCTCCTAATGAAATAGTTTTTCCTAATATCCAACCTGGACCTCTCTCACCGCAACTTGAGACCACTGGTCCTTGTTCAGCCATCCGTCACTACTGTGAACAGCCTCTCTCCAGCCTCTTTGGAACCTCCCTTCAGGAAGTTGAAGGCTGCTATCAAATCCTCCCTCACTCTTCTCTTCTGTAGACTAAATAGACCCAACTCCCTCAGCCTCTCCTCGTAGGTCATATGCTCCAGCCCCCTAATCATTTTGGTTGCCCTCCGCTGGACCTTCTCCAATGCATCCACATCCTTCCTGTAATTGGGGACCCAGAACTGGACAAAATACTCCAGATGTGGCCTCACCAGAGCTGAGTAAACATGGAGAGGGAAGCCTGGACCTGCATATAAAGACTTTGTGGACAATGCCTAGTACACCCTTGGTAGACAGGTGTGCTGTGCAGGAAGATATTACAGCGCAACACTGTTTCTTCAGATCTTATGATGCAATAATCTGTACCGTAACCTATAACATGTAAAAAGCTAACATAAGTTAGGGCTTCTCTCTCTCTCTTCACTGTTTTATTGGCGTAGAAGATTGGAAAATGGAAGTGGAGGAGTGAGGAAAAGAACAGGACAGCAAGACAAATAGGTCACTCATCATAAAAGGACTGGTGTAACTATCTTCACTGATGCTGGAACCTTCATGTGTCCTATGGATCATAGGACATATCCATTTCCTTCAGCTGCACTGAACTACATTGATCAGATGCATCAGAGAAGCCATCTGGCATTACAGGACTAACAACATTCCTATTTAAGCACTGTAATCAACTTCTTAAGTTCGCAAACTACTGACCTATGGGATTCATGTCTTTGTGCTATTGTTTCTGCCCCTCAGCACTGTATTTGTATGAGATGACTAGAATAATTGTTTCAGTTTAGAACGTACATTTCAAAGAGCTCAAATCGATTTTATAAATCGGCTTTATAAATTGACATTTCAGACTAGTAAAAATTCCCTTAAAGTCCAGTCATACATTCACTGAAACAGTGTACCCATCTCTGCAATTCATCCAACACCACCTATGGCATACAAGACATTGATTAATATTGCTCATGAAATAATAGTATAAACAAGAACCAGATGATTAGAACAAGGTACACAGAGAAGAACGGAGATTAAGGGGAACAAATTATAGCTGTGTCACTGGCCAGAATTGTGTTCAATTGTATCAGCATGATCTGGGTGGAAAAAAACCCTCATTGCTGAACTACTGGAAATCTATGATCACTCATAAACCAGTACAGGATTTGTATTACATTTAGTCAGAAAACCGTGTTCAAAGTAACACAAAACAACCTCTCCCTCTCAAATTGTGACCACTCATTGCACCTGCATCACTGTATTACCAAATAACTAAACATTAGCTGCTTAACAGACTTTTGTAAGGCTCAAAAGGAAGAAAAAGTTTTTCTGCAAGGAGCATGGCTACTAGTAACAACGATCAAGTCAGGGTAAGAGTACAGAAACACAGATCAGCTGGTTTGTGCCCAGTCTCAAGACAGACGGATGTGAAAATGACCTGACCTCCTAGATCTCAGGCTGATAAGGACATCCCCCGCCCCCCCAAGAATTCACTGGCTGGCTCTAATAAGGGAGACAGAAAGGGAAACATGCTCCCACTCGCAAAAAAATAAACATTCATACAGGAGTACTAAGGGATTCACATTGACCGAACCCCACGACACACTATTAGAGACAAGACGCGCAGCTAAAGGCTTACTCCTAAGGAACCTCAACAGAAGGAGGATGGCCACAACATAAGACAACTCGGGCGCCATACCAAGCCCACAGCTTTGGGGCACAGCCCCATCTCCCTTCCATCCCCGGGAGATGCTCCCAACTTTGAGTCCGGCTCTCCGCCGGCCAGGAGAGGGGACAGGGCAGCCCCCTTCTCACCCCACCATTTCCAAGGCAATCAACAACATTCCTGGCCCTTAGGCTGGAGAGGAGTTCGCAGGGCAAGGAAGAGGGGTCTCCGCCAAGCCCCCTCCAGGCCCAGCCCCTGCACAGGGCTGGAAGGGGAGCGAGTGGGGCTCACCCCATGGAGGAGGGGGAGATGAAATGCAGCCGCTTCCCGGGCAGGCGAGGGCGCAGGGCCCCCGCTGGATGGGGACGGGGAGACGGGACCCAGGCGTCCGCCCCCCTCCCCGCGCTCACCTTTGCCGCTGCACCTCCAGCGTGAAGCCGCCGCCTCCTCCCGG